AGCCAATGTACAAGTCGGGGCTTTTATCCTCCCAGACGGGCCTGGTGCCAATTAACTGACCCCTGAGGGAAGGGAGGCCTGGTGTGCTTGGGCGGATATCGATCTCAGATTCGAATCTGTGACCGTTCGGGAGTGGTAGGGCGCCATCTGCCACTACATCCACCACCTCAGCCTACAAGTAAATATTACTATTATCACTATTTTCACTTTTACTGATGGTAATATTGATTGTTTTATGTCTTAGTAAATCACATGTTGATGCTTCTTATTGAAAAATTTCCCCTGGAAGTGAGAAGGTACAATTTCTTCGAGCGATCATGGAGACATATGTACTAGTTCGATTATAAAATTTTGATTTTAAGTGAATCGTTCTTCTTTATGTTGACATTTCGATTCTGTCTGTTCGTCGCCACTTCTTTTGCTAGATGTCCTTACCTTTCCTTTTTCTTTCCAGAAACCCTTTCAACGATTAGTCTTCAGTGTATGGGAATAATAGCAGTTACATAGCAATAAACACAACCGTTCGACCATTCGACATCTCCTAAGTTCTTTATAAAAACTGCCAAACGTAATTGTCCTTTTTCAGATCGGTGGTTCTCTTTTAGATGAATGGCCGGTTTGAGGCAAAAGTAATTATTGCAATTCTCTAATTATCATGTAAAACATTACATTACTTACAACTTGGCTTGTCGTACGGGTAGGTAAAGTACCGTCGGTGCCTTTGTTCGTAAGTGACCAGTTTCGATTGAAAAACCAAAAACGAGTTGCTTTGCAGATAATTGGAAACGTCGTTGAGTTTATCACTGCTATTATGAGCCCCATCAGATCGTTTCTTCAACAGGTCATCCCTCACTAACATCTATAATCTTTTTTCGATAGAAATGGTGCACGCAAGGGCGTTGGAACGTTTCAAGGACAAAAAAAAACATGCAAGGAAAGGAGAATGGGAGACTTTTGGAGTCGACCATTTGGTGGCTATGAAAGGGACCGACCCATTTCTTTATCATGGTAACCATTACAGGGATTCGTGGTAGTGACTTTAAAGGCGCAGTTCCCAATAATCTTAAGGTACCCATTTTTATTCGAAAAGCGAAAGTATAGATTGGGAATAGTTCACCGGTAGTGAAGAAAGCGAGAGATTTCGCCGATATCGAGAAAAATTTGCCTCCTCAAAAGTAGGGAAAGTAGAGGTTGGACGAGATGGCCATGACGGAAATAACATGAAAGGGGTATTCGGACGAGATTTCAGTTATTGCAATTGCACTGAGCTGATTTCAAGCCAGAACTGTAGAGAACTGTTTTTCACTGTCGCTATAGATCGTGACAACATGGGTGTTTGAACTTCCTACATGGGTTCCCTTGTGATCGGTGCAGCCTCTACAATGCCGGTGAAACTCGTCCGAGGATACACACGGGCCAATCTTTGAGCCTTTATAACTCCTTAGTTAGGCGGTTTTCCGACCTGATAGTGCCAGATATGGTGTACGCGGGGGTTTGAAATTCATCCTGTGGGGAATCTCAGAAACCATTTTTATCGTGAGCTGTGCCTTTAAAAACAGAGGAGCTTCTGTGAATTCACATTCATTTGGATGAACAACATCACAAGCTTCTATAACTTTATTATAAATCCACGTGGAAGTTTCCTTTCGAGATTATATACCGGCAAAGGTGGTGCCAAGCTGAGCATTGCCGTACGCATGGTTTGAGAAACGAAATCCGGATCGAAACGTTAGGCCAACCAAGCTTTCCATATCTCCGGGTCGTTTAATTTACAGAACACTTGTCTGGGAGGATAAAAGCACTGATTTCAACACCGGCTTTCACCGCAGTTCAAAGTATGAGTCACATATGTA